TGTTTAGTATGGGACAAAGTTTAGATATTTGTATACATCATATTGAAAGTCAAAACTTGGGATGACCTGATATTGCTGTATATGTCAGCTCATAATTATCTACTCTAGGTGAATGCATAGAATGTGCGTAGAATGAGATCTAATACTTCAGGTTCTCTTTTTAAAATTTGAAGCATTGATATTACTTTTAATTGACAAATCACATTTATATACCTGTGTGGGGTGTGATGTGATATTTTGATACATATATACAATATGGAGTGATTAAACAATGCTAATGAACACATTTATCACCTCATTTACCTATCATTTTTTATGGTGAAACATTTGAAATGTTCTTTCTTATTTATTTTGAAATTTATAATACATCATTATTGACTATAGTCACCCATTGTACAGTAAATCTCTAAACGGATTCCTCCTGTATATCTGAAATTTTGTATCCTTTGACCAAGAACTCAAATTCCCTCTTTGTCCAACCTCTTCTACAGCCTCTGGTAACTCACTTTCACTAAATCAGCTTTTTTAGATTCCACATATAAGTAAGATCACATGGTGTTTGACTTTCAACAGTGAACATGGGTGTTCTTTTCTCCACATCCTTGCCAAAGCATGATATCTTTCATCTTTTTGATAAAAGCCATTCTAACACATGTGAATTCTTCCTGGTATGTTTTTATGGTCCAGTTACTTAAATTCTAAGTTACTTGGTTTCTTCATCTCCTAACTCCACTTGAAACCCTAATAAAGGATAAACAATAGACATGAATAGCTGCTCTTGCCCGCTTGATTCTGGGGGTAGGACCTGGCAGCATTTCTATCATGAGCCTTTTATAAGGGTTTATAACTCAGCCATAAATACGTGTCATTGTCAGAAACTTAGCCTGGAGGGTCATCGTCCTGGAGTAAATTATTCATTTATATATTTCACTGACTTGTTTTACATTGTTTTAGACGTATTAATCTTTGGTGAGGGAAGAAAAAATAATGGCTTTATGGTTCAAGACACTTTTGTCCTCCTATAAATCAACATAGCATTGGATGTAAGTGAAAGATTCAACAAAGTGGCTGCTGGAAACAGACAATAATTCTTTTTTTAAAATGGAGGATTTGAGGGCTACATTACTCAATCTGAGATCTATTAGCAAAACTGAAGGAAAAAAAAGTGAATGTTATAAACTATTGATTAACTCCCCAAAGCATCCATTTTCATTTGCTTTTCCTTTTTTTCCCCAGCAGCCACACAAGGTCAGGAAGTTGTGGGATTATACCAGCTTGGTTCTAAGTAGAAGTCGCCCACATGGGAGTCAGAGATAGGGCAGTGAAGGACCGTGTTGGCTACAGCCTAGAATACTCTACATTGAAAAGTCTCTGAAGTAGGACTGAATCTCTACCTGAGGCCCATGCTTTTACCTTTATTTCTTAAGGGAAAATACAAAATACTTGTTCTCTATCAGTTTTTGTTTTTTCTTTTGAGTTGGAGTCTCATTCTGTCACCCAGGTAAAAGTGCAGTGGCACATTCACAGCCACCTGCTGGGCTCAGGTGATCCTTCCACCTCAGCCTTCCAAGTAGCCAGAAATACAGGTGTGCACTGCCACGACCAGTTAATTTTTTGATTTATTGTAGAGATGCGGTCTCACCAAGTTGCCCAGGCTGTTCTCGAGCCTGTGGGCTCAAGGCAATTCCCTCACCTTGGCCTCCCAAAGTGCTAGGATTACTGGGCTTAAGCCACTGCACCCTGCCTGGAATCAGATCCATTTATTATAGTCTTTAAATACATAGTATTTCAATGTTGTCCAGGACTTTTCAAAAACAATATAAGCTCCATTAAATCAGATATCAACTTTGTTTTTGTCTGCCCCTTTTCCTACAGTGTCAGGTACATAGTACATATTGAAATACTGTGTGTTTAAAGACTATATGAATAAACAGATCTGATTCCAATAGGTCAAACATCACTATAAGAGTTAAAAATAGGTAATATATTTCAATGAAAAAATACATTTGAAACTTGGGTTTATAATTAAAAGTGTGACACAAATGGTTGTACTTCAAGTGGATTCTACTTCTACATGAATAGAATATAATTTAGAGCTTAATAAAAAATGCCATCTTAGTATTTAAGCACTCTACTTCTAAAAAGAAGATCTCTACGTTCTGCATTTTAAATATAACCACTAAAATTTGGTAGGATATTTTGTTTTAATCATGCAGATGTTAGATGTTTAAATTTTTATACTTTTCTTCCCTGATTAAAAAAAAATACACTATTTAGAAAATTTGGAAAATATCAAAAATCTCAAATAAAACAATTACTTAAAAAATATATTTAGCTATCAATTAAAGACTGAGTCTATTCAAGATGTAAAGTGTAATGATTTGATGTATGTAAACATTGTGTAATGACAGTTTAGTAACATGATATCAAATTAAGAATGTGTTGATGTGTGGTGGGTGTTAGTTTATGGGGAGGCAAGTACTAAAGTGATGCACTGAATATCAATATAATTTTTGGTTATCATTATGACCAAAGGTCTTAAACCTCTGATATACTGTTTATGCCCATGCTTATGACTATGCCCATGCTTATGTCTATGTCTGTATTCATAGTACTTGATCAGTCATCTTGAAATCAAATGTTTAACATACACCTACCTTGCTTATGTTAAATGCTGATGACACAAATTAAGAGGGTGTTGCCCATGCTTTTAAGTTATCCTGCAGTTCAACCAAAAGTGATAGTTCAACAACAACAAAAATATTGTGCAATGATTGCCACAATCAAATGAATTAACTCATCCTTCACCACCCAAGTTGTATGTTAGGTCCTAAGAACTTTTTCATCTTCTAACCAAAATCTGGTACCCTTTAATCAACATCTCCCCATTTTCTGCACCCTCAGCTCCTGGCAATCATCATTCTTCTCTCTGCTTCTATGAGTTCGACTTTGTTAGATTGTACATACAAATGCGACTATATGGTATTTGTTGTTCTGTGTCTGGTTTATTTCACTTAGCATAACGTCTTTCAGATTCATCTATGCTATTGAAAATGACACGATTTCATAGCAAAAACAAAATCTGATTTAAAAATGGGCAATGGACTTGAATAGATGTATTTCCAAAGAAGACATAAAACTGACCAATAGGTATATGGGGAAATACTCAAAGTTACTAGTCATTAGGGAAATGCAAATCAAACCACAATAAGGTATTGCTTTACACCTGTTATAATGCTATTATCAAAAACACAAGAGATAAGTGTCGTCAAGGATGTGGGGAAAAGGGAACCCCGTAAACTGTTGGTGGGAATGTAAATTGATATAGCCATTATTGATCAAGTATGGAGGTTCTTCACATAATTAGAAATAGAATTATCATATGACCCAGCAGTCACTCTTTTGGGCGTGTGCGCGCACACACACACACACACACACACACACACACACACACAGTGGAATCAGAATCTCAAGGAAATATCTGCACCTACATGCGCACTGCAACATTATCCACAATAGTCAAGCTATGGAAACAACCTAGGTTGTCCATCAACAGATGAATAGATAAAGAAAATGTGTCACATACAAATAGTACAATGGAATACTATTCATCCATAAAAAAGAAGGAAATCCTGTTTGTATGTGACAACATGAATGAACCTTAAGAACATTGCACTAAGTGACATAAGCCAGACACAAAAAGAAATATACTGCATGATCTTACTTATATGTGAAATCTAGGTTAAACAAAGTCGAAACTAAAATGTTTATTATTTATCCTAGTTTCCCTTTGCAGTACAGCTTGTAAAAGAATGAGAGGATCTAGACTTTGAGTTATTATTAAAATAATGCAGATATATAGTGGACTACGAAGGAAAAAATAGTCTGAGAGAAATATAAAGAAGAATTAGTTTAAAAACATGATTTTCGGATTGTACTAGAATTCCAGACAGCCTGGGAACCACAGAGCATGCATTAAAGCCTCAGTTAAAGTTGTGCTGCCTTCTCTGGCCCCTTCCTGTGCCCAGCAGATTAGCAAGTTTGCTGTCTCAAAGAGAAATGGCAATAAAGACAACTGTTAGGTTTCAGCTTAATGTCCTTCCCACCAGCAGCAGATATTGATGGGATCTTCTCTGTGTAAAGTGTCTCACAAGGTGCTCTGTGGGTGGGAGTCGGGATAAATCAGGTGTACCGTAGGCATGATGAGGTATCAAAAAGACAGAATGCTCTCTAACCTCACTGGGGTCGTACTCCAGAAGGGACGTTTCTCTAGCAGTCGTTCATTGCTCTTTTAAATATTGACTCAGATCTCACCACAGTTCGGTGATGTAATTAGAACTGCTGTCATTGCCATCACTTGACAGATGAAGAGACACATGCGGAGAAGGTTACAGAATTTGCTGGAATCAATCAGCTAAATCGTGAAAGACCCAGGATAAGAGTTTCAGATTCTTGGACCATTGTCAATTTCCAAACATAGAGTTGCAGTAACATATTTTTTCTGATTATTTTTTATCACTAATTGAGTAGAAAATATTTTTTAAACAAAATTCTACCTATAAGCTTCAAATTTATATGATGTTGTATGCTGAATATACTTAATATATCAGACATAAAAAGTAAAAATAATCATCATGTATTTACTATTTCAATTGTCTTTTTTTTCTACAGAAGATTTTGTGTATGTAATCAGTAGCTTTTCAGAATGAAGTGATGTTTTTGGTGAATGTATACTTTTAATATTTTTGTTCCTCTTGAGGTATTGAACCCAGTTTAATCAAGGAACACATAAAAATCTGTGAAGGGTCAGAAATGTTTAGAAGACTCTAATATAAAAACTATCTTTTTCTTTTAGCTCATTCCATTTTTTTTGGATTCTTTGTTGTTTTTAATTATTACTCTATAATCCTTCATGCACCTTTTCTTTATTTTCCTACCTTCCTTTTTACTGCCTTTGGTTGAATTCCTAATTCCAACAATAATTTTTTGTTTTCTCCTAGGTAAAACCAATAGCCAACATATCCCCTTTGTGGCTGGAGGGACAGTTTTATTGTTGTTTTTTGTTATCCTAATTACCACCGTCATTGTCATTGCCTATAACAGGTGAGTAGTGCAACTTATCCTGAATCTTGTTCACCATGAATAATTCTATTGTTAGAGTTTCTCTATTAATAACTAAACAATATGTCAAGCTGTCTCATCATTCACATATTTTTCTGAGTACTGTTCCTACACAAAGGAGTAGTAGTTGTATGTGAAAGAGAAAGCTAGATTAGTTCATTTAAGAATTAGTAGGAGTTGACTGTCTGTCCCTTTCATTGTCTGCCTGATGCCTCTGTTCTGTCTCCCAGCCTATCTTCTTCCTCCTTTAAGGAAAAAGCTGTCATTGAGGGGGGTGGTATGTGTGTGTGTGTGTGTGTGTGTGTGTGTGTGTGTGTGTGTGGAGAGAGAGAGAGAGAGAGAGAGAATCCTTAATTTATCTATTCATCAAATATTTATGGTGTACAGTGGTGAACAAGATATAATGAAGCTCACATCCTAATAAGCAAACAACATAATTTTAAATAGTTGTATATTCTCAGAAACAAGCAACATAGGTACTATTATTAAAAATTACTGAGGAAGAAGGGCTTGGAGGATGCTACCTTAGAGACAGTAAGGGAACCATTTGGTCACTACGAAAACTTTTTACCTTTTACAGGCTGAGTGCAGTGGCATCTGCCTGTAGTCCTAGTTACTTGGGAGTTGGAGGCAGAAGGATCATTTGAGGCCAAGAGTTCAACTCCAGCCTGGGCAACACAGCAAGACTCTGCCTCAAAAAAAATAGAACTTTTTAACTTTTACCATCTTGTGGCACAGCAGTTGGGAATTTTCTAGAATATTCTTGGTTGACCCTTTCTTCCCCTTCTAGATCTCCCATGTCTATCAACCTATGTGTCTAGGTATTTGTTACATGTCTTTACTGTAATCTTAGTGGGTTGGAATTACTCCTTACAATGTGTTCCAATAAAAATGTTATCTTCTTAAAGGAAGAAAGAAGGGAGCACACTTTTGACATCTGTATTTTCCAAGCCTGGCATATCAGAGATATTTAATATGTGTTTACTGGGTAAATGAATATATCCAGCTCTACTCCTCTCCTCAAGTAATATTAAAACACACACACACACACACACACACACACACACACACACACACACACACACACACGGCTTGTTAGTAGGATTTCCAGTAGGTTTCTCCATCTCAACTCCATGTTCTTGACCTCTGTCTCTTTGGTGGCTGTTATCACAGCTACCCTGGTTTTGGTAATACTCTCCAACCTGCTCACTAACTCTCAGCTGTCTGTAGCTTCTGTCTCTAACCCATCTGTTTTTCCTGGTTCTGATTCTGAAATTTGGGTTGGTATGTCATTCCTATGTTTAATATCTTTGATTATCTTCCCGCAGCTACCAGAATAATGTTAAAACTCACAAACCCTGTCACTGAAGGTGCCCTATGCTCTGACTGCAGCCTAATTTTCACTCTTGTTTTCTACTTATATACTCCCCCTGATGTTGACAGATTTTGCTAAAACGGCAGTACACCTAACTCTTTCCCCATCTGGTATGCTACAAAAATACTGTTTTCTTATATTTGCCCTTAATCCTGGCATCATTCAAGGTGCAAAACACCTGTCCCCTCTGTGAGGTCTGTTCTTTTCTTCGTCCCTGTGAATAGACATGATGTCACCATCTGGAATCATCTTGTACTTCTTATCTGCTACGCCTCACATCCTGCTTTCTATTTAAATCACTTTCATGCTTGTCTTCCCCTCTATTCATAATGGCAGGGTTTGTGTTTTATTCACTTTTTAGTGTTTGATGGCATTTAGCACCAATCTTTCCAAATAACTGATGATCAATAAGCATTTGCCTAATTAAATTGAAGCACAAGACAGTCATTTTACCTTTTCCCCCATCATGGGCTGCCCTCGAGTCCTTCTCAGACCAGAAATTAGCAAATCAAGGTAAGGAACCCAGGTATTAGTGACAGCAAGGACTTCTCTGCTGCTCCACCTTGGTGATAAGAAGTGCAGATGGGGCAAAGATGGAACTGGGAAACAAAAGAGAGAGTGAATGATGACGGACCTCCAGAGGGTCACAGATGTCGGACGTGATGGATTTTACTTCATGAAAATGCATCACTTTTACATGAATGGTTAAATTGAACTGTAGAATATATTGTCCCACTTGGTTAAATGTGATAAAAGAAAATTAGTGGACTTGAATTCATAATCATGGACGAACACCACAGAGGAAAAAGCACTTGTTCTTTCTACTTTGTCACCATATCAGTTTGTGGTCGTTACTCCAAATGGAAATGCTTTGAAAAATGACCTGAGTGCTTCCGCAATGACCTCCTGAACTCTGTTTTGCCAACTGTTTGAAATAATCCTGCAGCTTCGGAAACACTGACTTGGATAGGAGTCAGAATAAATCAGGCAGTGTGCCTGGATGAAACTAAACTCTTACTTCACCCTCAGTGTCTGGTAGCCTGTGTGTTTGGGGACATTGGATGCAGTTTCTCTGCTCCTGGTTTGTGTGACTTTCATGTACAGATAAGAATAGTAACACATGTAAGTGAAGCATGGCCAGGGAAGTGTGTAGTATGGGTATGTGTGAAAGGAGCTGAAATATGTTCTGCTGATGGGCAACTCTCTTTGAGGAAAAAATGTAATACTTAGTGAGAAAAAGGTTAAACGCTTATTTTTACATTCATCTTGAGCATTAAGGGTGGGTTGGCTTGCCTGGGCTTCAGCATTGAAAATCCTCATCCTAGGGAACTCCTTAGGCCCAGGCAAACTGAACAGCTGGTCAACCTGGAACAAACTGTGATGTGTTTACTATCTTTATTTTACAGATGACAGGACTGAACTTTAGAGACAAAAACAACTCAGCTAGTAAATTGCAGAGCACAAATTAAGCATAGATCATCCAACTCTAAGCTCCATAGTCTCTTTTCTTCAACTCATTGTATACTCCAAGCTTATTTAAATGTATGTGTGTATATAAATACATTTGGGCCTATTTGGAAAAGTTAACTGCATATTAAATACGATTTTTAAAAAATGCCAAAAATCATGGATCTATGTCCTGGTTTTCTAATCTGTAAAAAGAGAATAATAATATAATCTATATCATAGATTTATTTTGAGGAATAAATGACTTAATTTATATAAAACACCTGGAAGTGTGCCTTGTGCATAGTACATTTACGCATAGAATAAATAAATAAAGGAATAATTGGGTTAAATAATAATTTATAAACAAGAAAATAAATTCACATCAAATAAGGTAAGATTATGTTGACATGGTAGGAGGATTTTAAAGCAACTATAAGAGACCCTTAGAATCTATGTTTATCACCTGAATAACCTTTCCGTGGAGACTATCTTGTTCTCAAGATTTCCTTAAAGAAATTACAGCCTTATCATTTTTTAAAAAGCAACAAAAAACTACATTTCTGTATCTTACCCATCTTCTTTGTTGTTCAATAAGAATCTTTTCTTTGGGGAGATGAAAGAAGAATTATTATAAACCAAAATGTTTCCATATACTTGGATGTAGTTATGTAATCTACGGCATTAAATTATAATAACCTCTCCCCTTCTTGTGTTTATTTTTTTCTCCTAATACATCTCCAAAGTTAGATTTTTATAGGTTTTATTGGAATTGTGGAGATTTTATTGAATAGTGTGACTGCAGATGGTCCAATCAGCCACTGCCAAGTGACTCCACAAGCCATAGAGCCTAAGAGTCAAGAAGGAGGGCTGTGGATTTAAATCCCAACACTACCACTCACCAACCATGCAATTTGGGGCTGGTTACTCTTCTTCCATACACCTCAGTTTCCTAGTCTGTTAAACAAAATAATCCATACAGGTGATTTGAATAACACCTGGAAGATTTTATAAAGCCTAATCCAAAAAGTTATACTGTTGGCATTTAAAAGTAGTTTTAATTATGGAAAATCTCTAAGTCTGAGTTTATTTGGAGAAGGCAATAAGCTGTTTATGTAATAACCTAGTAAGAACCATGCTTTTCAGTAAAATCACTGAGATTAATTACTAATACACACGGGCAGATATCCATTTAGTTGCCCTTGCCATCTGTGAACATATTGGAGAAGGTAGGGAAAGTGGATAAAAGTTTAGGTCATTGGAATTTTGCCTGTGTGCATAAAGTAATGATGGAGAGCTTCTTTGATATGTTTAGTAAGTGCTTGTGACTGGGGGTAGGGTGAGGTATAGAGTATTGGAAATAATACTAGTACTAGAATATCCTAACTTCACATCCTCTATTGAATATGCATTCCAGAAGGAGACGGAGACAGAACAGAGACCTATTAGAATCCTGGGATACACAGGAGAAGGTAAGTTTACTCAGAATTATTATTTTTTCCTGTTTTGATTTATAAATGTCTTGTAAAATCAGTCTCTTTTGCAGTTAAACATCTTATTTTTTATTCTCCTTTCAGTAAACTGAACATGCAGTTTTCTGTAATTCAAATATCAGCTATTTGGGGAAAGTTATTTACTGAACTATTCTTCTATTTTTAATACACTTTGAAACTAAGTTTTTTTTATATAAATAAAGGGACAACTGTGCTGATATTATAGCAATCAACCCTATGCCTTCCCCAAATCTGTATTTGTTTCTGAGGGCTGTCATAACAAATTATCCAAATCAGGCAGCATAAAACAGCAGAAAACTAATCTCTTATAATTCTGGAGGGCTGAAATCCAGAAAGAAAGTGTCAGAAGGATGTTTCTTCTTGAGAAGAGAATACATTCCTTCTAAATTCTTGTGGCTGCTGGTGGTTGGCGGTCCTTTGGTGTGGCTTGTAGACACACATCAATCCAATCTCTGCCTCATCTTTACATGGCATTTTCCCCTGTGTGTCTGTGTCTCTTCTTTTGTTATGAATACACCAGTCATATTGAACTAAAGATCGCCCCAACTCCATTGCAACCTTGTCTCAGCTAATGATATCTGCAAGGATCCTGTTTTCCAATAAGATCATATTATGAGGTTCTGGGAAGGATGTTTCCCATTAGGTTTTGGGGGATGCTATCCAACCCAGTATAGAACATAGTAATATTTTTATGCCATAAGGTTATTGTGAGGATTAAATTAAACCACATACCTGACCCAGAAGCATAGAAAGCACATAGAAGGACATAATGCATGCTATTCTTAAAGATTCCTATCTTTGAAGTTAATCTATTAATTAATGCAAAGCTAAAGAACTTTCTTATTTTCTGATGGGTTGTAAGAGTTTGATGAACTGTAAAATTTTCCTCCCCATTCTACCCTGCTCCTGCCCTCTGTTGTTTAATGAAAAGAGTAGAAACTTCCTTCTGGGTTTGTAGGTAAGATATGTTTATTTTCATGCTCATCATCTCTGCTATGGGTCAGTACTCTCTTCAGCACATAGTATTCTTTTATGAAATTTCACAACAAAACATTGACGTGGATCTTTTCAAAATACATATGTTGAAATCCTAACTCCCAAAGTGATGATACTAGGAGGTGAGGTCTTTGAGATGTAATTAAATCATGAGGCTGAAGCCCTCATAAATGGGATTAATGCCTTTATAAGAAGAGATGGAAGAACTTGCTTTCTCTCTGCTCTCTGCCATGTGAGGATACATTGAGAAGATGCTGTCTGCAAATCAAGAAACAGGCCCTTATCAGAGTCTTTTTTTTATCAAGTTGTGAAGAAATTTCTTGATCTTGGACTGCCCAGCCTCAGAACTGTGAGAAATGATGTTTGCTGTTTAAACTAGTACCTTGTTTTAGCAGCCCAAACCGAGACAAATATTTTCTCAAATGTAATCCCAAAGTATATGAAATTCTCTTCAACTTAATTATTTACAATTGAATTCGATGCAGTCCAACAGTTAAGTACCAAGAAGTTTCTTACAATCTAATATGTGTGCTTCAGACTTCTTAATAATCTATCAGTCTAACTTTTTTTTTTTTAAGTAGTTACTTTTGCAAAACGGCTTTTTATTTGTTCCTTGGCAAAAAATACGGCTTACATCTTGGCACCAATTGCAGAACCAAGATTCTTACTTTGTTTAATCTGCCACCTCAGCAAGCAAACACACACACACACACACACACACACACACACACACACACAAACACACACACACACACACAGTGGTGCTCTGTTTTACCCAATTTGGGGATTCACTTCTTCATCCTTAGCCCTTTGACTATTCAAGTCAAAATTTATTGTTGTGAATTAATTTTGGAGGAGGAAAGAAGTTTTGCAACTGTCTACATTAAGTATCCAACTTTTTCAGGCTTTTGTAGAATAATGATAATTTGAAGAATGATTAAAAAGTTATACGGTAAGTTGGACGGTCACAGATAAAGAAGTTAGAGTTATTTAAATCTTTTGTTTTGGCTTTTTTAGATATCTATGTACTTACTAAAGGCACTTAGCAAAGGAAATTTCCTTTGCTTTTTCCTTAAAAACAATAAAATCACTCAAAATTTCCAAACTACTCACCAACGACCTCTCTCCTGTGCTCCTCTATTTCTCTCTGTCTCTGACTCTCTTTCTCTTTCTTTCTCCTTCTCTTACTAACTCAATTTCTCTCTCATTTTCTCATGCCTGCATATGTTCTGTCACATACATGCATACAGGTGGGCAAAGAGACTTCATTAGTGTAGAGAAGATTGATGATTCCATAATATCATCTTGAATGTGACCATTAGTTTGCTTTGTGAACTTTTTTAATGTTTAGTTGCTTCGTTTTTAAAACTTAAACACTGTGTTCTGTAAAATATTTATTTATTAAGACATTCATTCAACAAATATTAGTGGATACCCACTATGGGGAAATACTGTATTTCCATATAAAAATAAAAATATTCGTGACCCGCCTGGGCAGCGAGACCTCATCTCTACAATAAATCAAAAAATCAGCCGGGCGTGGTAGCACATGCCTGTAATTCCGGTTACTTGGAAGGCTGAGGCGGAAGGATCGCCGGAGCCCAGCAGGTTGAGGCTGCGGTGGCCAGGAGCGGCCACTGCACTCCAGTCTGGGCTACAGAGTGAGACTCCAACTCAAAAAATATATATATATCTCTAACATCATTATGACACGGCAAGAATGCTGCTGTCATCCTGATCAGGACAGAGACCCTTCTGTCACCATGATGACTGATCATTAATACTTACTCTTTGGTGAGGAGGGACCTCACATTGTTACCAGTACACATGTATATTATTGTAGTGCATGTGGCTAATTATGTGTTTGCGTGATGCAGCATATCAGACCCTCTGAAAAGGTTCAGACTCTCAAATCCAGCATGTGGAGTTTAGGGAGCTACAGGGATGAAATGAATATATTCCCAGCTTTGCTGACAATTAAAACGTGTCCCAGAGTGCTGGCTGCCAGGGCTATGCTGGCCACTTTGAGGGTCATGGGCAGAGAAGTACAAGGGTAATAAGTGCTGGACTGGTAAGCTCTGTTAAGCTGAGCCAATTTGTCAAGTTTCAAATTGTTTTACAACAGTTGGGTGAAATTGAATAACTCAAACTCAAAGTACTGATTCTTTGTAAGAGTACTTATCAGGGATCAATAAAATAATAATTATTGTTAAAAAAAATAAAAATAGTCGTTCTTATCAAAATAGCTTAACACTGGGAGAAGGAATTTCACATTGAAAAAGTTAATTCATAACACAATACAGATATGAGAATCTAGATTAGGTTTCTTTGCATCTCACTCAGAGTCCTGCAAATGAAGAATGTGATTTCTAACAGAAGTCCAATATAGTTAAGAGAATGCTTTGTAAAACTGATGAAAATTTGACCTAAATCGTACTTGAATTACTGATACCTTCTGCTGTTTATCTTTCCAGGCACCCAACAACTATAGAGGTCCTATCTCTATCAATCAATCAGTGGATGATGCAAGAGAAGATATTTATGTCAACTACCCAACCTTTTCTCGGAGACCAAAGACTAGATTTTAAACTATTTCCTGATGTGAGATAATTAAAAATGACGGTTATGTACTTGTACATGGACCTTCATACAATTTCTTCTCAATACCCAGTGTCTACCTTAGATTCTGGTTGATTGAATTTATTTCATTTGATTGAAAAAATACTGTATTACTTAGAGAACATTCTTAACAGGAATGTTTCAGAAAGCCTGACTCTAATTAGCTTATACATAAAGGAAACTTACCGAATCACATAATGGAATGAACCAGGGGAGATTATGTTTCAGACAAGTGTTATTTGCCAGGGCTTAAATGTTGTGTATACAATTAAGTATGGGCACAAATTGGCTTCTGGATCCCCTTCCAAAGGGTTGGATCCACTTCTCTGGCATTGACTTACCTCTCATGCAGGTTTTCCCTCATGTTGTCAAGATGGCTGCCAACAACTCGGTAATTCACACATCCTTGTTTCTGTCTGTTGGTGAGTTTACATCTCTAGTAGAGCAAACAAATTTGGTTATTTTTTTTCATTGTTAAATGGAAATTGTAGCCATAAAGGATGAAATGCTTTAAGTCAAATCAGAGTTTACCTCTATAGCAGGGAGTGGGATCAAAGCACAGTACTGGAAAATTCAGGGTATGTTTAGAAGAGGAAAGGGAAACCTTGATGCTGGAGAGGCTACCAACAAATGTTGACTGCAATGATATTCCAAGTCATCTTTTGTCAGCCAGCTAAATAGTGACTATGCAACGGATTCTAGAAGAGAGGGATCTTTCTTCATACTTCTAGAATTTGCTATATCAGCATAGTCCAGAACAATTCCTGGCAATAGAAGAAGTGAATAGTCAGGAGGAAGATAAATGTAACAAAAAAACCTCTTCCCTTGTTATTCTCAGATACATTAATCTCTGACTCTATATAAAATTCTTGTCACCATCCCAGACCTAACCTTATGAGCAAGTGTAACAGAAGGTCCAATGATAAATGACTTACTGTTTTTGATATTGATCTTTCTACTCTTGAGAATTATTTTTAATATATAAATTTTCTAAAAAGGGATCTGACACCCAGGAATTGTGAGTTATTTAAAGCAATAATTATGTAAAATGTGAATACACAAAAATGAATGACAGTTGGAAGTAGTGGTATGAAGGTAGGGCAGACATTTGAGAGGTGGAAAGAGTATTGAGAAGGGATAGGCACTGAGAAAAAGGAATCCAGGAATAGGAAGACGCGAAGAGAAACTTCTGCTTCACAATTTGGACACAGAGAGCCCTGGTGACATCACTGACAGTCAAAGCAATTAGAGACCATATCTGATATTGTCTAAATTCCTGATGTAGTCAAACAATGAAACGTATTTGCAAAACTAAATAAAACTGTCATGATCATCTTGAAACCACAATAGTAATCATCAAATATAGAGAACATTCATGTCTAAAAGAGTCATTACTTATCTCTAAAGACCTCTTAAAAACCATCATCTATAAATGATTCACTATAAAGCTGCATTTTAATATCAAAGTTGTAAACTTCATGATAATTTTAAGAGAAACAAATCCAAATTCTCGTGTTGCCTAGACAGATTGTGAGTTATAATTTAGTTTTAAGTTAATCAGGAATATTTTATAATTTTAGTTTTAAACACCATGCATGCCAAATAGTGTAGTTATTCTGTGAACTACAGAAATAGTGAGTTAATTACATTTCTGTTGATTACAAAAATTGTGAGATTTTATTTTTATCAAAAAAAACCTGTTCAAAAGTAAAAAAAATAAAAATGGCCATTTCCCGGTTGTAGTAATGTATATGCAAGAAGAGTTAACTATCATTTTTATTATGTTTGCTTAAATATCTTTATATCTGGTTTTGTAAAGTGTTTCCACAAATGTATTACTGTAACAAAGGTGAAAGGCAGTTTATGAGAAAATTATCTACTGTCAGATCTATCAAAGATTCCATGAAATTATCAGTTTGCATGGTGAAGCAAACATAGCATCATTTAAAAGGAAAATGGTTTCTTTTTAAAATTAAGTTCAAGTCAATCAAAATATTACTTTCTGAAAGATCTTGATAATCAAATTCTCAATGATTAATATAGGTGAGAAGGAAAACTTTTCTGCAATTGAAATGTGAGGATATAAATCCCACTGTAAGGGAGAAAATAATTACTGGCGATACGAGCCGCACACCCAGATGCCATTGTCCTGGTAGATTTTACTGACAGTTTCATGGAAGACTTTTGCAGCAAACCACTCACAAGTTTGCCTAACCTCTGGAACATTTAGAACTTGTCTCTTTTTTATGGGTGTTTTATTTTTTAAAAAAATATTTCATTCAAAATATTTATGAGGACTATTTACTCTATTTTTTCTTCTTTTCTGTATATTCCTCCTTTGCAGAGATGAGGATTTTTTTTTCTTCTTCAGGAATTTGGAACCATCCTAAGTCCTGCTGAATATTCTCTGACCTCCCTGTGCTTCTATTATTCTCTCAGCTGTAAAGCTGATAAAATTCTGTTTATTCCTTTCTTTCTCTGGACATCTTTACTTAGTGCAGTATTTTAAGTGTAAACTCTTTAATGTTATGTCTAATTCACTAGAGATTTGGAACTACACTTACTATATGTTCTCCCACATCCCAGTCTTTTGCGTCTACTATTTTGGTTGTTACTAAGGAAACAGATCCACAGAATAAAAGATCAGAATTGCAGTAAATTATGTTTTAAATCTTTCTTTTGCAAGGTGCTGCTTTGGAAGCAAGATGCTTTTTGATATTTTTTAAGCATATATATAATTTATATTAATATGTAATACAACATTAAATAAGAATCTATGCTTCCTTTAGATGCCATTGTTTTAATATTTCCTTTAAAGTAACCAGTTGAAGAAAATTACTTTGTCATAATGAGGTAGGTAAGTTTGTTAAATGTCTCTGTAGAGGTCACAGCTTTGTCTGGGAAAGAACATATCTTATTAACCTACAATGAATGTATTGATTATATGTATTATCATTAGAGAGACTTTCAAACTTTATTTAAAGGGTATTATGTAGGTTGGGAAAACAAAAAAGAAATTTCATTAATTTGCAGTTATTAAAAGTGGATGAGGATATAATTTTTAGTTAGTAAAAATTCAGATTTATAGGATGTTTTAAGTAATTTTGTTTATAACTAAAATATTATACCTATCATTTAAAATATGTGAACTATCAATTTAAAAGATAAAGTAAAAAGTAATTTTACTAGGTTTGCTTTTATTGTAAACATCTAAGTTATGCTGGTTTATATAAAACTGTATTAAATAAAAATACAGCTGCATTTCTGTAATTTTTGAAATTGGGAGAGTCCACATTATAATTAGAGATCACTGTAATCAAAATTCTCCTCCTTGATTTATAATAATGTGCTGTATTTTGTACTGCTTGTATGAAATTTCAGCAAGATTGAAAATATTAAACAATGTAAACATGTAACATCATTGTTTTATCATCATTAGTCTGGCTATTAAAATGTTTAGAAAGTGTTGGATCTTCACATTCAGGCTTTTGCATAAGATGTATTTTTTCATTTGTTTGTTCATTGAAATTATTCGAGCCCAGTCTCTGAATCTGAAAACCAGAAACAAGTTTGTTTGTTTTAGTTTTAACTGCTCTACTGCCAGTGACGCAGTAAGCAGAACAGCAGTTTCTAGAATTAAATGCAATGCTGTCCAAGGAAATTTTGTAAATCTTCAAGGTTGGTTTACATATTATATTTTTATAGATTCAAAGTATGAACTACATTGTAAGATGAAAGAAAATGTCTTATTCAGAAATATGGGTGATAAATGTCTTGAATAATTCACATTTGCTACCTGTTGTTCCTGCTTTGAATAGGTTATATGGAACACTTTTAGAACACTTTTTCCAGTTTTAGTGTGTACTTTTAGATTGTGGATTCTCATAGGGTATACAAATGTTGACCTTGATGTACTGTATTCTGTTGTTTTGAATGAACAAAAAACATAGTGCTCCACGATTGCTAGTTTCACTTGCCATCAAAGAATATTAGAAAAAAATTTCTACAGAATAAAACCGAAATGATGAATTAAATACAGAAAAAAAAAATCCAAATCATGGACACTTTGTAATTTCTATTTCAATTATCTCAGTGCAGTATCCTGTGTGTCTTATAAATGAATGTAGTTCAAAGGATCAAAAAGCTATACAAGGTTTCTTTTTGGGGGGAGTAGGTGAAAAATAGAAGTCTCCTGCCCTTCTCCATTTTCTTTTCCTTGATCTAACAAATTTCACTTCTAATTCATTTTATTCCTCTCCACTTTTCTGAATAGCATGTGTATAACACTACCATATATTTGTTCAGTTTTAGACATTATTTATTCATTTACAAGTCTTTCTCTTCACAAACTCACCACACAAGCATATTCTTCTCATGTCTCCACCCTTCCAAAATATCTACATTAAAACTCTGATTATACCAATATTTTGTATTTATTTTTATAACGTTGCCAACACTCTTCTCAGTTAAACCACATGGTAAATATGATTGTGCTTTTTTCCTACATAACTTTTTTTCCCACCAAGAGCTAGCAATTGTCTTTTCAAAAACTTACTATTTCTATACTTGCTATAAAATTATCTTAAACTTTTCTACAATGTGGCAGGAATTCCAATAATTTCAACTTCCTGAGAAAGTCCCCTCTAGAACCTTGACTTGGTTTGATAAGGAGTGGCTCTTTCTGCACCGCTGTCATCCTGGCATCTTCCTTCATTTAGAAAAAGAAGAGACAGGCTAGAACCTTGACTTGGTCTGATAAGGAGTGGCTCTTTCTGCACCGCTGTCATCCTGGCATCTTCCTTCATTTAGAAAAAGAAGAGACAGGAACATAAGAAACCTAGAATCTATTCTTCAAAAATTTCCAGAACACAGGGACATGAATTTCCAGACTGCAAATGTTCAACAAGTGCCCAGAACAAGGAATAATAAGACAACTGTTAAATTTCTTTGGTCTATAAAAGTTGGGGGT